TGCCGTCGGCAGAGTCCCGCAGCGCGGCGGAGAATTCCCGGGCCGGCCCGGGGGGTCGCAGCGCCCTCACGGCCCGGCTGGGCCTGCCCGACCAACCTGGTGAGCGCCATCTTGACCGCGTACACCGTCCGCTCGGCAGCCGAGAAGAGAGAAGGTGGCGCCGCCTGCACATGCGCCGTGCCCACAGCGTGGCCTGGGAGTTGTAGTCTCCGTAACGTCACCCGCGGAGCGGCGGCGCACGCGGGTAGGCCACAAGGCATCCTGGGAGATGTAGTTTTACAGTATCCCGCTTTATTTCTTCAGCCGTCCTATTCCGCTCCCCTGCACTATTCACACAAGTCTCCAACAACTTCAGTAACTTCAGTAACAGTGCATCCAGCTGAAAATGTCCAAGTAAAAAGCAGAAAATGTAGAGCAAATGGATTGGAATAAAGTTTATTCTGATACCTGCTGCTTAGAAATTGTTGAACTGGGACATGGAAGTGAAGAAGAGAGACTTAAAGTGGTGTGAACATATTGATTTTAAATAGAAAGCTTCTGCATTAAAGAGGAGTTGTGCTGTCTACATTAAATGGGCATCCATATGTTACATAGGAGTTCTTTAAATCAAATCAAGAGATGCACTCTTTAGAGAATAATTAAAATTTGGAAGATGCAAAAATACTTCTCAGGGAGTATAAATACATGGGAACTAGGTGGAGCTTTATATAGAAAAGTCACTATTTGAGTTAAAGTGGCAATACATAGCACCATACATAGCCAAAAACATTATTAATTAGTAGCTGTTACTGTTACATCATATTTAATGAATCAAAGGCAGAAGAGTCCCACCAAACCAGACACGGTTCATCTAGAAGAGACACAGAAGACAGGGAAGAAAAGAGTAGAATGACTAAAGAAACAAACCTATCTATCTATCTGTCTGTCTGTCTGTCCGTCTATCTATATCTATCTATCTATCTATCTATCTATCTATCTATCTATCTATCTATCTATCTATCTATCTATCTATCTATCTATCTATCTATCTATCTATCTATCTATCTATCTATCTATGATTAAAAATTTATACCATAAGAGGCAGGAATATGATATGGCAGAGTGACTGTCTTGCAGTCCTCTAGTCATTTTGTCTGCCTTATCATCTCCTGATCTGAAAGGTGAACTACTCATGCAGGCTAAATTAATCTGCTACAACTTCTAGGACAGGGTAGATTAGGAGGAAGGTGAGGGCAATCCTGTGCAGTTTCTCTATGCCCAAACTCCTCATCTCCCGTGGGAATCAGCTTTTGGCTTAACATTGTGGTGACAGCAGCTCTGTCACCACCTCTATGAATGACAAATACTTTCCCTTCTCTCTGAAATAGCTGGTGTCTTATGAGCACTTCAGACAAAGCTAAAGATACAAGACTTTGTCACCTACCATTTATCAATAATTTTCCTAAGCAAAACTCATCTGTCATCCCTTCTACCCATTTCTGTCACTCATTTAGTGACTGTACTGCTGTTGTCATATCTGGCAATATTGCCACTAGATTCTGGAGCCTTTTTTCCCCTCTTTACCAAGGCTTCTGTGCCCAGCTGTTATACTAGTCTCAGTGAAAAAATAATGTTTTATCCCTCCTACTTTGGCATTTCTCCTTCTTCCTTTGCTGTGGAGCATTAATTAATACTGTATTGGGGGGAATGCACCACCACACCACTACTTTTATCTTCTGCTTCTGATGATGTTTTGATTAAAGAATTAGCACTGTGCAACACTTGAAGAGGTGTTCCACTAGGGTCGGGAAGTGGCTGGCCTCCCAAAATACAAAGGAATCATCAGCAGTGGATCAATGCTGACAAAGTATTTCTGAGGAAGTTACAGAAGAAGGGACACACCATGATTTATACTGGTCACCATTTTCATCAGCTTGCTATCAGTATGAAATTGCTATTCATAAAGTCTGTATGTTTCCAAATGAGCGGCAAAATGTTCAGGGATATTGGGAGGAGAGTCATACAGTGTGAGCTAGATGACTTGGTAAGTAGAATCCATTTTAATGAGCTGTGTTTCAACATCACATTGTGCAAACTTATATATCTGTAAGAAATGTGGTATTAAGTGCAGGCTGTGCTGGGAACCAGGGACTCTGAAAAGGACTCATGTGGGTTATGAGAGACAAGCAGCTTAGAAGAAATTTCTTGTGCTATGAAGTAACAAAAAGACTCATGCATGCCATGGATGTAGAAGTAGAGATATGGTCATCTCTAGAGGGACTCTTGTCCTGGTCTTCAAGTTTCTAAAACAATGCTGGAAGATAGAAGAGGGTTAAAAGACTACAAAGGTATTATAAGGTTATCATTAATTGGAAGCATAAGGGAAATTCAATAAGTAAATCTGTTTTGTGGTGAAGTTTAAGAGGTAAATGTTACTATTTCCAGATTAGAATGAGGTTAACTCCATTCATCTGTCCTTTGACAATTACAAGAAAAAATTACCTGAATGAGCAAATGAAAACACTTAGTGTATTTTGTTCATTAAAAAAAATTGAGAGGAGATTTGACCATCTTGTATATGTATCTGCATGAATTAGAAATGCAAGATACCAAACTATTCCTTAATCTCATACAGGCGAAACAACCAGTGACTGGAAGTGGAAATTAGGAAAGTTCAAACGAGAAGTAAGTTGAAATATTTAACAATGAGAGCAATTAACCTTTGAAAAACTGTGGGAGGTGCTCACTTTCCTACCCCTTTTTATCTTCTAATCAAAGCTGAAATCTGGGAAGAGACAGTTTCATTATTTCAGATCTGCTTTAGGCAAGCCTGAGCGACCAGGGCCCATACAGGAACAGTCAGATTAAACTAATTGTCCCACAGTCACAGAGGGACAAGAAAAGTTAATATTCTCTTCTGAATTGATGATCTCTGTGCATCTTCATGTATCTCTTAGGTCTGGACTTTTTCTGAACCAGACCTCGTAATTGTTCAAATGGCAGAGCTATACTCTGCTCTACTCTGCGCCGGTGTGGCCTCATCTTGTGCCCTGTGCACAGTTTTGGGCACCACAATGTAAGAAGGACATAAAGCTACTGAAGAATGTCCAAAGTATGGTAATGAGGATAGAGAAGGGCCTTGAGGGGAAGCCTTTTGAGGAGCAACGGTGGTCCCTTGGTCTGTTCAACCTGGAGGAGACTGAAACCTCATTGCAGTTACAACTTCCTTGCGAGGGGAAGAGAAGGGGCAGATACCGATCTCTTTTCTGGGGTAGCCAGTGTCAGTACCTGAGGGAATGGCCTGAAGCTGAGACAGAGGAGGTTTAGGTTGGGTATTAGAGAAAGGTTCTTCATCCAGAGGGTGGCTGGGCACTGGAACAGGCTCCCCAGGGAAGTGGTCACACCAGCATCAAACCTCACAGAGATCAAGAAGCATCAGGACAATGCTCTCAGGCACATGCTGTGATTCTTGGGGTGTCCTGTGCAGGGCCAAGTGTTGGACTCAATGATCCTGATGGGTCCCTTCCAACTTAGCTTATTCTGTGCTTCTCTCAAAAGAAACATTAGGCAAGGAATGGTTCTGAGAATCTGAAACTTATTTTCCCCAAGTATAAATCCCTTTCTAAGACAAAAAGGATTAATTACCTTCTGTTTTTATCAGGATATTTTTTCGACAATACCTTTCTGGACAATAAAGATATCAGGTTTTCAAATGCATCTCTATACACAAAATGATTGTGCTAAAATGATCCTTAGTATGGTAAGAACTCTGCGGAATTGTTGGCATGGCTGGGAGTAAGGACATTTTTAGTTTGATGAGAACATCATAGCTGCTTCTAAGAACATATTTCTGATGCATTCTTAGGAGTCTTTTGGGGTAGATTTAAGCTGTTAAATCCCCTGCACCTTTTTTTATCTACTTCAGCACTTTTCACATTTGCAAATCCAGAATTAAATGGTTCATGAAATATCTTGTAACAAATTAAGATGATGATACAAAGGAATGGAATAAGCTATTGTTAATATCAGATATCTGTATGCCTACCAGTTGCTGCACATACTCGGATAAAAATGATCAAAATAAAAGAATTTTCTTAACTCAAGGGATAAATTATGGACAGGTAAGATGCTAAACAGTGAAAGAGAAGAGATTTAACTAGATGGAAAAGTTCAACCACATCAGCAATCCCTGTACTTCACATTCCCTTAGGGGTTACAGACAGCACTCCAAAGGAATAATTATAGCTGGGGAGAAAAGATCACAAGGTTTATCAGTACTTTTGTAAAAAAATCTTTAAATTCTTCTAGCCATGTCTGTGTTCTCTGGAATGACTGAAACAAGGTTGGTTTAATTTCTGTTTTTTGGTACATATTGTAAAAAAAAAAAACTTTCTCGGGCAAAAATGTTCTCATGTAATTCTGTAAAAAAACCACAGATGCTGTGGATGTTTTGCAAAGGTCTTGGAAGCATTCCACTTCCAGGTGATAAGATCATTTCACACAGGACATGTTGGCCCACTGACACTTCCCAACAACCTGCAAGAAGAAGTGTCGCGCCCTTTAGGCACCAACAGCTTTAGCAAATAAAGTAAGGGGAATTTTTTTGCCAGCAGAAATTATGAGAGGTATGGAGGTGGCTTGCAATTGTCTAAATTGATGCCACACCACAAGGTTGAGCAAAGGCCTTGAAGGAACAAAATACTGGTGGAAGTGGATTTTGCTGCTCCTGTAAAGCCCTGCTCTCCAAGGAGCACATCACTTTCTAGTCACATTCAGACTTTGGTGACTACTGAGTCACAGGGACTGAATGACCTTGGGCAATGGGCATGTTTTTGTGGAGAGATATTTTATCCAAATATTGGCTCTGTGCGGTGTGATTGGTAAGAAGATGCTGTTTTAAGATTTTATGGCTTCCTGAGTCAGCTCTGAACTTTCTATTGCTGATATAAAGGCAAAACCTGCCAATATCCATTTAAGTTGGACCAAGAATGGGGTGGGTTTGACCTATCAGAAGACCTGTGTTGCAGGCTGGGTCCTGGCAGGCCTGTCTGTGTTATCTTCTGGAATTACCTCCAGATAGGAGGTTGCTGTATTTCCTGTCTTTCATGTTGCTTTGCACATCTGTCAACTATTATACAGAGATTTTGTTTTAATATTTCATCTGATGACCGGACCAAATCAGAAAAGAACCAGAAAATATTTGAGAAGCACAGATCTCTAGCAG